AAATTCATCTATTCATCTATGAAGATATATATATACACACACATATATGTTTACACACACACACACACACACATATGTATATGTATATATATATATATATATATATATATATATATATATATATATACATACATATATATATATAATATATATATATATATATACATTTGATTAATCTGTCTATCTATCTATCTGTATATGAACAGATATATATATAATATATATATATATATATATATATATATATATGTATATATATATATATATATATATATATATTATATATATATATTATACTGAATATATACACACTTATATGTTTACACACACACACACACACACACGCACGCACGCACACACACACACACACACACACACACACACACACACACACACACACACACACCACACACACACACACACACACACACACACACCACACACACACACACACACACACACACATGAGCGCATGTTTTTTTGTTACTTATTTTCATCCTATTTTAAATTGTCTTCATACACTAGGTGTCATTTCAGCAAAAAATGAAAAAACAAAATCAACAAAATATATTTACGTGATAAGGTAATGAATGGAAACCTACAGGATGAAAAAGTGAAAAAACTTATTTTATAAAGTTTGATTCCCCTGGACATATTTACCATTTATAGACATTGTCAAGTGCAGAAATTAAAGTCATAATGAAATGACGGCATTTATTCCTATAAATAAATTAATGATACCAAGTGGTCTAAATATTATCCTCCCTATCCAACTTTTAAATTGAAAATCCAAATCACATTTATCGATACGGAGTAAAATAAAGATATTCATTGCAGACTTCAAATCAAAATATCTGAACCAAGTAAAATACTAAAAATCTTGAAAAATAAATTAGCCCCGCGGTCACTGTTGTTGCTTCGTCAGCTGTTCACAGACGAAAAATTTTCCTTCGGCGTTTCAGGGCTACATAAATTACCACGATGTCGACTTATAAACCGGTGACGCATGTTATTTTCGACATGGATGGACTTCTCTTAGGTAGGTTGGTTGTCGTGGTTGTATGTTGTTAAGAATATTGTTTTTTTTATTTGATAAGATGTCAGACTCGTGTTATCTGCTTTATTTCAATGTGATAACAGAAATTATTCATGATTATAGTACATGGAATATGACCAGATAGTTAGCACTAAATGACACATTTAGGAAGTGTAAATAGAATAAGAAATATGATGATGATAAAATAAACCACATGAAACATGAAACATGTAACACATGGCCCATGTTGGAAAGTTTGTACTTTTTTATGAAAACGCCATCATGGGCCTATTACCACGTTAAATTATATTTAAAGAACATAATTTGGAAGTGATATACTATATTCTTTAATAGATGCACTATTACAGATGCTATCAGCAGGCATAATCATGAAATATTGTTTAGTACACATAATCCTTTTTTTTTCTTGCAGAAGATATATTGAAGTGGGGTCTAGCGTCTTCCTGAATTCATTTATTATGAGAGAACTAGAAGCAGCATTTTGAAATCTATTTCCAACAGACTAATAGTATCTTTGGGTTGATATAACTACATATATAAGAGTACCATAAAATATTTTTTCTGGGCTGTATGCTGTACCTTATGTAGCTATTGGTTCTTGAAATTAAATGATATTTGGTGCAAGACATGGAAATTATTACCGAGAGCAACACACCCTCCAGATACTAAGTCCCAAAACCAATCATGCTAACCCAAAATCCCAACCTAACCTTTCCTACCTTCTATTTATTCACTAGACGGCACTAGACAGGCGTGCAAGCCCCCCTGTACCCCCCATTTATTAGCACTTCATTCCAACTTAAAGAAAACTGACATTAAGAACTCTGGCTGTGTGAGGGTGTTGTGGACTTAGTCTCTGAGCAGTGCTGTGGAGCAGACATTTTCGTTATTTACCAGGAAATATGAGGCCGCTGCAGCTTAAACTACGTTTTTCCTTACTCTATTTCTTACGCTCTGGAAGATGGAGGTATCCATTTATCTTTATCTCCGCATTTTGCTCTTGCTAACTCATACCCAAGACATAAACATATCAGAAGGAAAAGTTCAGCTTACAGTTATTGTGATAGATTATATCCTTCTAAGTGATTTTCAATTTATTTTTTATTTGCTTTACCATAGTGCTATATGACCTTTGATGTCTAGAACTTTTATTTGTTTAAAACATTAAACATTAAACATTTTGATCCTTATTGTCAGAAGTATTTCATGCAAAAATATCCTGTATGTTCTAAATTTTTTTGTGTTTAAATGTAATAGACCAATTTAATTACCAGTGGGGCCAGAGTTCCTGAAATCATAAATTCAAAAGAATATGCATCAAAAGAAAATTGAGCTATAATTTTAACACAATCATTGATATACTTTTTATAACTAATATATGTTCTATGTAATGTATATCAATGATGAATTTTTAAATATTTCTTTTCATACTAGTGTTTGTGTGCATTTATTATTAATATAACTCTATTTATGCCTTCCAGAGATCAGTACTGATGCAAAATACAGTTATGATACTATTTAAGGTGTCACACTGTATTACACATCAGGATGACAAACCAGGATGTTGTAAAGATACCAGATTCAGTACATCAAATCAAATAATTCAAAGTTTCATATCATATTTTCTTCATAAGCAGATAGTAGGTTTTTTACCAAGCATTGTTTACAATCTCACTTTATGCTAATGTGGTTTTAGATACAGAAGCCCTATACACCTTGGCAACTGAACGTGTGTTGAAGCCCTTTGGTAAAAAATACACATGGGAACTAAAGGTGGCTCAGATGGGACAAAAAGCTGAAGTTTGTGCTAAGGTTATAATTGACAGCCTTGGTATTAACCTTACTGTTGAGGATTACTTAAAGCAAGTGTCACAGATACATATGGAGATAATGCCGTCAGCCAAATTCTTACCAGGTACTGTTATGGAAGAGGTGAATGGGCGTGTCATGTGATTCTGTGAATTATGTCTTTGCTTAATATGTTTGTAATGGTGACCTTCCTTTTTTCAGTGTTTCGGTGAACTTTGTAGATTTCAGTTTACAATCTAACATGACTTGAAACTTTCAGAACACTGAAGGTGTTGGTTTTTTTGCTTCTTAAGGGTAAAAAATTATCTATTTTTAACATAAATTAACTGTGTTATAAGGATATTAATCCAACTTTTTAATGATTTCACTGTGAAAGAGATTTAAAATTAGCATATGTACAACAGTAAAAAAAAAAAAGATCATAAGAAACATTCCCAGCATCATCTTGTAACTCAGCATTTGCTTACCTTTTAATAATTACTTCAATTTTCCCCTGCTAAGTTTCAGTCATATATAGCCAATGCTCATAGATTGACCAAGTACACAAAATTTTATCACTGATTTATCCTGGCATATTTCTCCACAAGCCTGGAAAAGAACCTACGGTATTGTCATAGCTGTGCTAACTAGAAATCTTAAATGTCTCTTCTCATAGATACATTTTGGAATCAACTTGAATTTTTAGATAGAATTAATTATTCTGAAGATGAGCTGATACATTCAGTTAATTCAACATATCTTTTTTTTTATTCTTTACACTTGCTAATTTTTATCTTACAGCATTTATCTTAAGTAAGGTATCTGAATCCATTAAATGTATTCAAACTGTATTTTTTATGTATAAGGAATAATGAGTTAAACAAATTAAAGCTTAGTTATATTATTGAAATATTTATTGCTACATCATGAGGCACCTTACACCTCATGCACTTCCTGCATTACAACAGAGTAATATATATTTATTTATATACACATTCCCTTGTGTGGTCAAAAGACATTGAATGTTTGTAAAAGATTAAAGTTATCCCGGGTTAATGAGACATGGTGTTGAATTAGAAATAAGATCATTTGGCTTATTCTTTTATTTGAAAAAAAAAGTTTGATGTCTGTGTACGGTACATTTTGCTGTTTCCCATTCAAAATATTTTATTTTTACTGTTATTTATTTAGTTTGTTATTATAATTAATTATTATTGTTATTAATATTATATATTATTGTTATTATTAATGTTATTATTATGTTATTTTATGATTATTTATAATTACTTTATAATTATTTTATAATGATTTTATTATTATATTATTTTATTGTTATTTTATAGTTATTTTATAATGATTTTATAATGATTTTATTATTGATATTGTTATTAATATTGTTGTTATTATTATATTATTACTTACATAATAATAATATTATTATCATTATCACTATCATTATCACTATCATTATCACAATCATTATCACAATCATTATTATGATTATGATTATCATGATTATCATGATTATCATGATTATCATGATTATTATAATTATTATAATTATTATAATAATAATAATGATGATGATGATAATAATAATAATAATAATAATAATAATAATAATAATAATAATAATAATAATAATAATAATAATAATAATAATAATAATAATAATAATAATAATAATAATAATAATAATAATAATAATAATAATAATAATAATAATAATAATTTAATTATCATTATCATTATCACTACTACTACTTATAATAACAATGATGATTATTATTATCATCGTTATTATCATTATTATCATAATTATCATCATTATGATTATTATCATCGTTATTATATTTATTATTATTATTATTATTATTATTATTATTATTATTATATTATTATTATTATTATTATTATTATTATTATTATTTTATTATTATTATTATTATTATTATTATTGTTATTGTTATTGTTATTGTTATTGTTATTGTTATTGTTATTGTTATTGTTATTGTTATTATTATTATTATTGTTATTGTTATTATTATTATTGTTATTATTATTATTATTATATCATCATCATTATTATCATTACTTGAGGTAATAGGCAGAGGATTATTAGCCATAATGCAAACTGTTTTTATAACCCAAATGCCTGTGTTTTATCAAAATAAGGATTTTTGTTACTTTCTGTAACAAATTTTCATTAATTAAAGACAAACAAGAAAATGAAGAAATTTATTATACAGATTCAGTTTATTAGTTATATTGTTAGACATAATCCTTGTCGTTTTTTGGCTGTTATTTAGGGTTTAGCAAGCTAGAAAGCTCACTATTATGCTACTGGTTGCAATTTACTTGATTGTGGTTTTGTGGATTTTCAAGGTTAGCCAAAGTTCAATGTTAATGGTTAAAGCAAATGAATGTGCTCGACATCAAGTTAACGCTATTGAAGGTATTTCTTTTTGTCTTTTGATCGGAAGTTGGTTGTTTTTTTTATTTCCTCATTTTGTTATGTTATTCTTCCTGTCTCTTTTTTCTTTCTTTTATTTAGGGAGACTAATTTTCCTAGCTACTTATCATTGCATTGGGAAGGGTTTTCCATTGTCAGTACAAAAAAATATAATATTGTGTAATGTATTTTGGTAATGTAGACCACTTTTCTGTGTGCATATTAATTTTCTTGAGTAATATTGTTGTATGGGGCATTTCATTTCATTTTTCATCCAAACCTTTTCTTTTCTTAAACTGTTTTTTGTTGAACTGGATAACATCAAATACTGAATACAGTTTGTATAATCACCATTCTTCCAAACAGACACAGAGCGAATATACATGCAAGCTGCTGAAATAATTGCAGAAGAATATGGGAAGACTTTTACTTGGGAGATGCAGACCCAGATTATGGGGCTGGCAGCCACCGAAGATGCAAAGTACAATATAGAGACAAATCAGCTTCCATTGACAGTAGACGAGTATCTTGAAAAAGTGAATAGTGTGTGTAACCAACTTTTTCCCAATGCAGAAAAGTTGCCAGGTACACCAGTCTTCTTAGGAACAATGTGTGTTGTCTGTAGTACAGGCACATTTAGCTTTTCACTGTGCTTTGTATAGAACCTGCTTGCTTGCTTGGGGAATGGTTCAACAGCTGTTTGGGAAAGAAGTTACAGGCTGAATGTTACCAGATATTTATAGAAAATTTTATGGGGCCTTTAACCAGATAAAAAAATTTGACCATATTGTCTCTTTAGTGTTATGGAATGTTGAATTGGCGCATCCTGTTTACATCTGGCTTCCTTATTGAAAGGAAATAATAACTCAGATGGGCTTATACTTTTCAATAAAAAGGTTTTACATTGAAGTTAGTGATATACCAATTGATAATGTGCACGGCCTTAATTAATGAGCAAATATACTTGTGGTTAGTGTTGATTTTAAGAGCTTCTAACTTCTTCTTTTACAGATAATTGCATGTAATGTAGCTTATTGGAGTAACTGGGTGAAAGCATTTAGAAGCAAAAACACAGTAATACAAAACATTTTTTCATAGTTTTAGTTTTCAGAAGGTATTTTACAGAGGTTCTGTCAGTAAAGCCTTGCAAGGATTCTAGATTCCTTAGTCTCCTTTAAGCAGTACCCTGAGCACAGAGAGGGTAGAGGAAGTGGCAATCACAGTTTTGATGCAGTTTTGATCCATTCCCATAACAGACACTGAGAGGCTGTACACCGAGGCCACACAGGTGATTGCTTCGCAGTATGGCAAGGTGTACACTTGGGAGATTAAGGTCCAGTTGATGGGTATGAAGGGGCACATGGCTGCTCAGCATATCATTGACAGCCTCCAGCTGCCTCTGACAGTTGATGAGTACCTTGCCAAAATCGCAGAACAGTACAATAGTATCTTTCCTAATGCAAAAGCTTTGCCAGGTACAGCAAAAAGAAAACTTCATTGAAGAGAACTGTTAGTAATGCTGTCATGTGTACTGCTGTATGTACAGCTTACTTATGATTTTTGAGAACCTATGTTTATGCTTTTATGATGTCTCTGTTGTGGGTATACAGCATGAAAGGTGGTATGTGTTTTACAAAATTTTGCATGATTATTATAGATAACAGGGAATATTAACCTTTAGACTTACTGGACATTATAAATTTTGGGAAAGAATTAAGGATACAGATAAGAAAATTTTGTCACGCTCTCCATCACACTACTTGGATTATAAGCAGTCTCACTTAATGCTTTAGAATTATCTCAAAACCTCAACCTTAGTAGGTTTAGTTAGATATGTTGGAGTGTAGTAATCTCATTGCTTTTGCTCTAGTGGCCTGTTTTACTTTGCTGGTTAATAAGGGAATATCTTCAACTTCTTGACATCTGTCAGAGGAAACAAGCCTTTAGTTGGGAAGTTGTTTTTAAGTTGAGGAGCCAGTCACATCTAATGGTACCACACGAGAAAAAGTGGATTGAATGCACTCTTGTTTAACTGATATCTGTGCTTGGTTATATGTACATGCTTTTCTGTGACTCTAAATGCTATAGTGAGTCAAGCTGAATTATACTTGAGTGTAAAGTCGTGGCGAGAGACAGTGTGATTTTCAGTTCAACTAAATGGTAATTAGATGACAGGATTTTAATAGTAGGTAAGATAAAGTTTAAAGGGGTTATTATTAATCTGTTTTGACACTTGTCTTTTTGATTTTGAAAGAAACTCATAATGACCTGTAATTAGGTCATTGAGATGTGGTACCATGGGAGAAATGTTCACATTTACATCCTCTTGGATGGTGCTTTATAAATTATAGTTGAGGTAAGAGCAAAAACATGTTAAGGGTTTATATTACTTTCTTTATATTATGAACTGTCTACTTGTATCTGGAGTCTGCTTCTGTACCACTTTCTTTTTTTTCACCATCTTTTGTTTGTTTGTGCCTCTGTACCATATTTGATTATGAGCAGTATCTGATTACAATTATTTCAGACACTGAGAAGCTTTACTCAGCTTCCACTCAGGCTGTGGTTAGTCCTTATGGAAGGAATATACGTGGGAGATAAAGTGGCCTCTCATGGGCGGGTAGGCACCGAACTGGCCAAAGGAATCATAAATGCCTTAGAATTGCCATTGTCACCATCAGAATATCTTGTCAAGGTTGAGGAGGAATATAAAAAGAATTTCCCTCAAGCACAGCTTCTATCAGGTAGGCCAGGCTCTAATTAAGATCCACTAATTACTCTCGTGTAGTTCTCTTGGCACTGTTTTTGCCGTGCAATTTTCCTTGGGCTTGTGTTTTGCAGGTGTGCCATAGTGCATTATTTGAATGTGCAGAATCCTGTCTTGTAGTGGGTTAAAACATGGTTCTTTGTGGTTGTGGTAATTGTGATCATAACTTGTCTTCTATTTTTTCTTCAATGGTAACATACTAACAATGTAGAACTTTTCCTTAATTTTGGAGGTTTAGTTGAAGAAGAAACTGAATGATATAAGGTTGACATACCACAAATGTCAGGATTTGAGGCAGAAAGGACTTTCTGAAAGCTGTGGGAAAAGAAATGCATTTGAAGCATCATGCATTTTTTTATAATGATTGCATTTGATGTACTGCAACTGCTCATCAGCATGTTGTTCATTTCAGACACAGTTGGCTTGTACATTGTATGTCACAATCGAGCTCTTGCACCTTATGGACAGTCAGTAACTTGGGAGCAACTTATGTCTGAGATGGGGCACACAGGATTAGAGGTTGCACAGACCTTTTGTGCTTATTTTAAACTCCCAATTTCACCTGAAGAGTACAAAGAAAAAGTTGCCTCCCACTATTTTGATGTATTTCCTACAGTTGCATTGATGAAAGGTATTTAGGATGTGGACTGTGTTTTCTCCTTGCTCTGCTTTGGATATGCTTTTGATGTTGTTTGTATTTAGTTCTTATGTTGGGATTGTATGGTTGTATGTAGGGCATGTCATTCTTTTTTTCTCTTAGCACTAGGCAAAAGGATTCATGTAGCAATAAATTTTTCATAATTTTAGGAAAGTCATTTTCATGGATGCAGATATTATTACCGAACAGTAACCATGTATGAAAATATTTTGATGTACGAGTGTGAGTGAGATACAGTTCTTTAATTTTGATAATAAAGAATATAAACTTTGGTATTAGAATGGAGGGACTAAGGAATTATTAATAATTGTGAAAATTGCAACGTGTATTGGCATACACTATATGTATATTTTAACCCAATGTCTACGGGAAAATGATGCGTTCCCTTCGGCAATGCTTGGTTAAATGTTTCTGCATAGATGGCTCTGCCAATGCTTAGCCACAAAGGAGTCAATTAGTAGATCTTGTGTCCTCACTTTTCCTTGAAAAATCAGGAAAGCATTTGTCTTTTTTCCCTAATGCTTTCAATATTGACACTGTTATTTTTGTTATAAACCTTATAATTAATATTGTTACTGACATTACAAACATGAGTGTTAGATATTTAAAAATATTATCGAAAATCAAGGAAAAGGGTAAACAGGTGAGACTGGTAGTTTGCGTAATTGGCTCATTGGTGACTTAGTACTTGTGGAGCCATCTACATGTAAAAACAATACTAAATTCAACACACACAATGGGCAATACATGTACATACATGCCATGCCCGGCAGCTTGGGGTTAACTACTAAGGAAATTTGTTTTGTAAAAAAAAAAAAATCCTGCATGATTAACATATAGTTTTGTATCTTTTGTGGGCATGTGGTGAAAGCTAAATGTCTTTTGGTAATGATTTTGGATAGAATGGAAAATATTTCTGGCTGTGCCCATTGTATCATTTGGCATGCATGCTTTTCCTAGCTAAGCAGTTGCACGTTGGAGACTTAGAGGTGGTGATTCTTGTAGTTTTTGTCACATGCAGCATTATTGATTGTTCTCAAGTTTGATATATATTGATATAGCCATTTCATTGTAGGATGATGTTATATTTGAATATATGTATTGAATATATATAGTTGACAAATATATTTGCTCAGCAACAAAAAATATCATTAAATGCTAAGTAAATCACTTGAAATCATCTTTTCATGAAATATACTTACTCAACTGTAAGGATTCAGTGAATTCATTAACAGAATTGCTATTATATCTAGAAGAAAATGATCTGAAGTTATATTTTATTGCAACAAGAGAAGTAATTGTGCTTAGAAAATATATTTTGTAGCATGCAGTTATTGATGTAAAAATATTTAAGTTACACTGCTTTTTTCTTGCCTGAAAAAAAAATAAAAGAAAAAAAAATATAACATCAGATTTTTATATGGTCAGGTAAGGAAATAACTCAAATGTTCTGTATCTTCAGTATTCTTTTTCATGATATGCAAGGAAAAAAATATAAGAAGTCAAGTCTTGTTGAGTAATTAGATTGCAGTTGTTTGCATAACACAGCATATGATTTCATTTGTGCATTTAATGATATTCTGTGCCAGTAAACTAAATTGATATGAATATTCTACATTTACCCCTAGGTGCAGAAAAGCTTGTATATCACCTCCATAAACACAACATTCCTATTGCCATAGCATCAGGGGGAGCTCAGGATAGTTTTGAGCTCAAGACAACCAATCACAAGGAATTAATGTCCAAGTTCAGCCACGTGGTGTTGGCCTCCACGGACCCAGAAGTGAAAAATGGAAAACCAGCTCCTGATGTGTTTCTTGTATGTGCTAATAGGTTTCCTGATACACCAAAGCCTGAAAAGGTAAGTGAAGACGAATCTGTTGTATTGATATTGTATGGAGTGTATTTTAGATTTACTTTATATTTATTTTTCTCTCCTTCCAAAAAGGGGCATGTATTATTATTTTGATTGTCAAGCCTAACCTCTTGACATTGAAAAAAATCATTGAACTTCCAAAATCCTCTTATATAAAATTTGATGAATTCAGCTGCATTATTCCTAGACATGATTTTCTTTTGTGTTGTGGTTGATGGAATAAGGTAAGCTCATGATAGGATGTGAAACAAAATGCATGAATTGGAGCAGTAATATTCAGATGTTATCTATAAGTAAACATCATCACATGCCTGGTAGTGAAAGGAGTTTGTGACAGGGAAGCATATCAACACCTGATGCTGTTTATTTGTTTCCCTTTCATTATGTTATTATTTTGGCAATTAGATAATGATACTTTAATATGAAATCCCCCCCCCATCCCTTGCTGTTGTTGTCGTTGGGGGAGGCTTAGGGGACGAGACTGAGGCCCATTTACTCTTCCCTCTTTACCTTTTCATTACCACACTAATACAGCACTCTACAACCTTTGACATCTAACACATTTTGTCCTAATCATTAACTCTATTTTAACCTTTTCGCCACAATACTTTATCGTAATGCTCTATGACCTTTGATGTCTGGCACATTATATGTTCTGATTGTTAACCATTCTGGGAAACCACAAACATAGCCTTATGAACCAAAACCTCCCTTACCTGGGGTCTTTGCCCCCAAGCCTCACCCTATCACTATATTTTGAATACACCACTGACCTTAGATGTTGATGCAGCAAAAAAAATCAATACATAAATAAATAGATCAATTTGAATATGAATAATCCAAGAGCTAAATATATTACATATGAAATAATCATAATATTAACTCTAAAAATAGGAAAAGTAAATTTTAGAAAGAAGTAATATGGCATGTTAGTACCAAGTAGTCAGCTTGAAAAGATGATAAATAATTCACTGGTATTTCCATTGAAAAAGTGGAGTGTTACTCCCACCTACATCTTAATTATACCTTAAACTTACACTCCGATATTTTCCAGTGCTTAGTGTTTGAGGATGCACCTAATGGAGTAGCAGCAAGTGTGGCAGCAGGAATGCAGGTCGTAATGGTCCCAGATCCTCGCATGAAAGAGGAAATGACCAAAGGGGCTACTCAGGTCCTCAAGTCGCTAGAAGATTTCAAGCCCGAGCTCTTTGGGTTGCCACCTTATGATGCATAGGTCATTTTCACTGCAATTTGTTTTGAGACATCTCAATGATTTTGTTTTTTTTCTTTTCTATACTTTGCAGACTGTACAGTATTAAATGTATTATTTTTTTTATAATGTTTTACTGGGGTTTCATATTACAGGAATTGTAATTGTTCTTAAATTACTGAAAGGTGTATGGTTGTGATTTTTAATAAACTGTCAGCTGTATAAATGTAAAAATATGTATTTTTAACTTATAATATATGAGATAATTGAAGTAAATTGTGTAATTAGTAACTTTTGAATAATCTTCAAAAGTTGAAAATACCATTAAGGAAATGTTTGCCTGGTACTGCTGTCCATGATCTACAAATAATAAAATCTTGTACTTGCTACAAACCATTTTCACAAGTAAAAGTTTATCTCCAGTTTTGAGTTTAAATCACAATCTTATTTATGTTTTCACAAGCTTGGCAATTTTAGACAATATGAATTTTTGTGCAGATTTAACCAGAGTGTTTTTTAATATTCAAATAAGTTATTTTTCAAGGAAAATCAATAACTAACACATGGGGTGCTGGTGCCAGGGGATTGTCTATCGAAATCTTTAGCAAATGGTCAAACTATCAGGCAGATGCCCTTAGCTCACCTGTGGGCATTGCACTGTTGATTTGGCCTTCAATTTTGCCTTACCAAGTATTAACCCAATGCCCCGGGAAAATGTGTTCACTTTAGTATTATTTTTTAAATGTCTCTGTATATCGTTGGCTCTGCCAGTGCTTAGCCACAAAGCAGTCCCCTACTTTCACCTTTCCTTTGAGATTACAGGAAATGTTTTTTTTTTATTAATGTTTTCAACATTGATTGTTAATTTTATTATAACCATCATAATTATTATAGTGTTATTGACATTACTAACAGCAGTATTAAATACAGAAAATATGATAAAAAATCGAGGAAAAGGGTAATCAGGTGAGACAAGTAGTTCTTGTGATTGGCTCATTGGTGACTTAGTACATGTGAGGCCATCTATGTGTAAAAATATATTACTAAATTAAACACACACTGCCCATGGCATGTATGCACGTCACCACCATCAGCATGTGGTTAAACAAGTGCCTGTCAGGCACTGCTGGTGTGTATGGACAGGGCTCAATTTTTACTTAGCGACATGGTGAAAGAATTATACCTGCCTGTCACCTTCCTTTACTGCTAAGCTAAAAGGCCTGTTCACACGTGGGCATGATTGGTGGGCACATAACCAGGCATGAATAGAGATGTCAGACAAACTACTTTGGTAAGCAATTAGTTTCATAGTTTCCTTGCCTATGACTTCACCTTTACAGTTGCCTGCTGATGTGTCTGCGATCATACTTGCTTGTGTGGACAGGCCTTAGGAGACTGGTTAATAGTTAATGGAAACAAATGTGCTCAACATCACAGGTCATAGAGCACTATGATAAAGTAGTGTCGAAAAAAGGTAAAGAAGAGTTAACAATTAGGATAAAAATGTGTTAGATGTTATAGGTTATAGTGTTATAAGATAGTATGATAGGTAAAGAGGGTATGTTAAATGAAGTAAATTGGAGATTTTGTAAAGGAAAGGGTTAAGGGCATAGGGTGCTTGGATGAAATGGAGTGCATCATTGGCCGGGGAAGCAATAGAACATTGTTCAAGGAAAACTGGCAAAAGAACTATTATGAAAACAATCAATGGGTAATACAGGTAGAGATGTCTGTTGGAGAAGCAACTCAAGAATCCATGGAATGAGATACAGGGGTTGGTAAGTTGGTGAAATTTCAGGAAGAATGTCTGGAGGGGAGGGATCCAGAGGAGGACAACTGTTGCAACAGAAGGGATTCATGTAAGGATCCAGGTGGTAGAGGTACGGAAAATGGGGAACGAAGAGGGAATGGTACACATGTAGGAGAGGAAGATTGAGTAATGACCTGGGGGTGGGTGGTCTGGAACGGATAGAGTTGTCAGTAAAACCATCGAGGAAAGGAGTATTAGTATTAGTGGTTGGGTTCGTGGTCAAAGGAGAGGCAGGGGTCAGAAAACCAATGATATCAAAATTTAAATAAGGCAGTTGATGAAGCCTTGATGCCCCTAGCAAGGTAAAACAACATTATTGGACCATGGTGAGCCTGCAGTAAGTAGGAAAAAAAGAAGAGTCTACCCCTCAGGGTCCCCATAAGGGAAGGGGTAAGGGTTACATGATTAACCAAGGGAACACTGTGCCCATGGGCTCCTGGAGGCCATTCATGACTGACACAAAGCCAGCTTTTCATCCTTTCAGCACAGCTCTCACACCTTAGGAAGTGGAACAGAAGTGGATAAAGAGAAGGAAAAGGAAAGGGGAAGAAGAAAAGACCATGTAAAAATTAGTTGAGGCAAGGGCTGTGGCCTAATTATTTATTCATTGGGAATTTTCTACTGTGTCAACATCAAAGGTAATTAGTGGCATATACAATATATAGCAATTTGGTGAAGTATTGTGGCATAAAGGGTACAAAAACTAACAATTAGGACAAAATATGTTAGATGTCAAGTTATAGAGCGCTGTACGTTACCATGGTAGTGAAAAGGGTAAAGAGGAAATAACAGTACAAAGGCCATAAAGGACTGACAGAGCCAGTCTTTCATCCTTTCGACATGGCTCTCACACTTTAGGATGTGGATAGAAAGAGATGAAGAGGAGAAAGAAAAAGTATGGAGAAGAAAAGTCCATGCAAAATTAGTTGAGGTGAGGGCTGAGGCCCACGGTAAGGGTGATTCCCTACCTTGGGCATCAGTCCCGGTCTCCTAAGCCCCCCATAACGATGAGCATGGAATCGGGGAGGGGGGACCGAGGCCTAAGGCAGGGGTAATCTCCTACACTGGGCCTCAGTCTCCATCTCCTAAGCGGGAAGGTGAACGGTTTACACAGGTGGTTTTGCAAGTGTTTAATCACTAAGGAATAGGGTAATAATCCTATCTCATCTGTTTACCCTTTTCCTTGATTCTTGAAAACTTTGAAGTTATTAATTTATTAGTATTTTAACCCATTGGATCCAGTTGCATCATGGAAATCATGGTGTCGATAATACAGGCAGAGGATTACGTTAGTAGCCAACATCCTGGGCATGTGAACACCCATGAGTGGTGACACGACACCATGCCTTCCCTTTGCAAAGTTATTGTGTTAACTTTTTTAGCATTTTAGCCATTTTCCAGTGTCCATATGCGTACTATGTACTAAGTACTATGTGCGTAGTCCATGTACTAAGAGTACAAGTGAGAAAAAAAAAAGTATGGAACATTTGGTTGTCTCCTCTCATTTTTAATAATTTTCAATTTTTCCGTAATACAACCTGTGCTGCCAGTCACAGCAGCCAGGAGTATGGTGCACAGTATGGAAATGGCATCATCCCTGGAACGGGAGCTCTTCCAGTCACAGCTTACACACATTACATTCTTCATTCGTTTATTAATGGAAAGAATGCTAAAGCCCCCTTCTAAGTGCCAAATGAGTCAAATCACACTGCTCGAGGTTTGTGCACTCGTGGCGAGTCTTTTCTGTCACCCTGGCCTTTGCTCATGACAGCAGGTTTGCAGCATCTGGCCCATGGCCATTTTGCCCGATGATGGCATGTTCACCGTTACCCAGCTCTCGACCCAGATTTTTCCATGATGGGACAGTAACGTCATCTGGATTGTAGGGGTTAATATAATCATAACAGTACCAGTAAAAAAAGGAAATTGGGAAATTGAGCCATACTGACCTGTGTGGTCAGTATGGCCCAATTTACTACCTGATCGCACAGTTCTACAGTGGACAGCAAAAATGGTTTGTGCCATAGGCAAAATATATCTTTTTAGAAAGGAAACTGAAATACAATAATTTAATCAACTATTTAATGGACAACAACTTTTCCAAAATATTCTTTACCACTGAAATCTCATATCAGACATTTAGACCTTGCACATGCATACTGACATTATCTGCAGGACATCAATTGTAAAACATTCTAACACCATATATGTATTCCAAGTAAGGAACTTTTCCTGAACACCTCAAGAATTATAACACCTCAAGCAATTGCCAAAGTCATCTAGAGCTACCACAATGTCTCCAGCATTGTGGCACATTCTCATAAAAAATTTCCTTAGTTTTTAACACTTATAAAACTAGGTCAATATATCATATGCTTTGTCAATTTTTCTAAAGGAAAGTAGTACTGGTAATTTTTTTGAGTTTAGGAAAAAAAGAAAAGAAAAAAAGAAACATGGTTTCATACTTAAAGCCTTGAACTCCACTCTGATTTTCATAAAATAAGCATTCATATATATATTTATAAAAATAAACCTTCCCAAAGCCCCTGTATTTCTACTTCAAATTAAATGTGCACAATCGTTTAACACAAACATGTCAGAACCCTATAATTTCTGCAAATTTTCAAAAAGCCATTACTATATAGGAAGGAGAAAATAAACATCTACATTTTGTGCAATGACATAGGATGCAAGCCAAGGTATTGGGATGGAAAAATAATTTCTCACAAAATTATGATACAATACACCACATTTTGAAAAGGATGAGAGGTGCATATTAAATCTTGGCATCCAGTTACTCACAGCATCATAACTCAATCTTGTATAGTCAACATTATTATACTGATGCCTATCTTATTTTTCCTGGGTTATGATATCATTTTCCATTTGTTTAATTATCTTGTACAGAAGTTAGTGATGATGTGCATATTCATACACCTTTTCTAAACCGCAGAAAATTCTGTTGACTAAGTAGAACAGCATTTCTAGGCTAAATATGGAATGGTTGACTAACATACTTAGACTGGCAGGCACATATTGTGCGATGTTTCTCTTAAGTGGCCTCAGGCGAGATTCAATTGACTGTTGTACAATATTCATCAGCTACTTGTAAAGTTTCACAGAAACTTTAATTGCGTAGGTTCTACACAGGAAAGAATTTGAAAAAGAATTCTCTAAGCATTTTCACAACCTCTTATTGCCGCCATCTAAGTTTTACGGGGGACTACTTTGAAAGGAAATGTAGTAAATACATCTATAAAAGATATAAATATGAAGACTTGTATTAATTACAAATCTCCTTCAATTCTGTAACCTTTAAAATAAATCCTCCATATAATATTTGTCCAAAATGCTGTTCACCCTAACTGACTAATTATAATGGGGTCGTCATAAGCACAGCATTTACTCCCTGTATTATTACCTCTGCTTAAATAAATATATTTAAGTATAATTCAACTAATTATGGGAGCACATACTATATAGGATGCAAATACTTAAATATAGATGATTTGGAGTAAGAGAGCATAGTTTAAATACAAGATGTACAAAATTATTCTGAAGCAAGAAGCATGAACTGAAGGTGGAAAAAATTTGTGAACAGTTTGTGTACAA